TACAACGATCGACATGCGCAGGTAATTTGGTCTTGATCAAAATCCAACAACCTTTTCACATCGATCATCTACGCCACAAATCCAGCTTCATGCAAAAGTCGTATGATCCCATAGATTCCTTCCAGCATGTTCGATGCACTTGCCGGGGTCGATGCCGGACCTTGAATCTCGTCGATCAGTTCTGGCTTCAGCACTTGGAGTACTGGGTCGCTTGATAGTAGATTCTTGAGCATCTTCCACTCGTACATCTTGGCCAGTTCTTCATATTGCCACCCTTCCATCTTGATCTCGTACTTCACGAACTTGAACGGATTCGGGATCTTGTTCTCAACTTGGTCCTGTTATTTGGTCTCGGTCGTTGTTTTTTTCACCCTCACAGTCCTCGATCGATCTTTTCTCGAGATCGCAGGTGTGGCTTTGGGCAACTTTTGCTCGGTTCTAACCGATGGGTTTTCACCTGCAAATCAGGCCTTGTAGCACGATCCGTGGTGGGACCCGAAGGGACCTCAGGAGGGGGTCGATGTTTTTCTTCCATATCGAGCGATCGATTTCCCTCTTTTATTTTCTTGTCGTTAGAGCCCCTACCAAAACTCTGATGAACTGGGAATCTTTCAGACTCACGCGTCTGTGGCAATTCATTGGCCTTCGAAGCTTCCATCCCAGGTTCACTTTTATCTTCATATATTTACTCAGGGACTCACGGTGAAATCCCGAGTCACCAGAAGATCCGGGCACGCGCACCATTGTGGTGGAGTGGTTATCGCTCTTTTGAGGAGTCGATCCCAACTCTCCACTGGCGTCCGGACGACCGACTAACGGAGGGGGTACTCCGATTCCATGTTCTTGATTGCCTTCATCACCTTGTGTACCCGTCGGTGGGGCGGGTTGCACTTTTCCAGGTGGACTCGTGTCAATGGAAAACTTGACCGTGTTTTCGATGGGGTCGAGGTTCGATCGCGGTGTGGAAATCTTCACACCACGATCGGGGTTGGTGCGATCACGTGGAATTCGTCACGCGATCACTTCTATGCTTGCGGGGTGCTCGATATGAGTCACCCTGATCTGTAACAGATCGCCTTGTCCAAATGTAGACCTTGATTCGCGAGCCTTTTGACCACTTGAGCCGTCTCGCGATCTTGGGTCCTCAACCACAAAGAGTTTCATGCGTCCAGTCGCAGTTGGGGTGTTGTTTGAGAGATCTTGATCCCTGGCCAAAGAATCCAGGGATATCACTTGATTAAAGTATGTAAACCTTTCCTTGACGTCGGGTGGCCAATGATCCACCCGGAGGAGAAGTCGACACGTGTACTTTGAAGAAAATTGAACTCTGTTTAATGTTCACCACTCAAACCCAACAACCCTATCCCTATCCTCATGTCTTGGACATTGTTTGCCACATGTCGCCCCCTCTAGACGGTAGCGATCTTGTACTTGCGTGGCCCACACCTGATATACTTGTCCGATCGCAGTCACATACCTGATCACTGATCACGATCCCGATCGCCTCCTGATCGCGATCGCCTTGCTGATCGCAGATCACATGGTGTGCTCCACACCAACTTATTCGCGATCATCTAACCGATCACTAATCACGATCTCGATCGCCTCCTGATCGTGATCGCCTTGCTGATCGCGAATCACATGGTGTGCTCCACGCGAACTTGATCGCGATCACCTACCTGATTAATGATCGCGTTCTCGATCACATACCTGATCACTGATCACGATCTCGATCGCTTCCTGATCGTGATCGCCTTGCTGGTCGCGGATCACATGGTGTGCTCCAACTCAACCTGATCTCGATCACATACTTGATCTCGATCACCTACCTAACCAATGATCACGTTCTCGATCACATACCTGATCACTGATCACGATCTCGATCGCTTCCTGATCGTGATCGCTTTGCTGATCGCGGTTCCCTTCTTGATCGACTGATCGCCAATATTATCGCCCGCCTCATACCTTGACCCAAGATCACAGGTCCCAATCTGCTATATCTGATATCCATTTTAGTCTGACTGTCCAATGGACGCGATCTGACCAGATTTGGGACCGAGCAGCCAACCGTTAACTGGCTCGGACGTAACGGGAACGCGATCAGTTCCTCTACGGCGAATTTCCATAGTCGTTTTACCACATCTCCATCCTCACAGAGGATCAGTCGTTACCGACTCAGGCGTAGATTGACTACAAGTTCGACCGAGGGTAGCGGAGCTACACAGCTTCTTAAGTCAGAGGAAGACTAAACGCTCTACGAGCAACTTTGGTTCAAAGAACCCGACTCAGAGAGTCAACAAGCTCAGAGTTTGGTCCCCCTGGAACAGGGGGACCAAACGATTTGAATGAGTCACAGCACAGAGTGCTCAAAAGTAGCTACCCTTTACAGGCGTTGCTAGCTCTTACGATCAAGACGCCTCGTGAGGCGCGTGTCTTATGTTGACCAAAATGGGAGCTAAGCTTTATTTCTTCTTTAGCCTAAAAGAACACCTTAGAGCAACGTAATTAACCTACTCGCTAATGTCCTAAATAAAACCTCTTAAAAGATCTCGTAATCAATGGTTGACAGACATCAGTCTTCAACAATCGATACTGGGTTTTAGTATCACTTTAGAGGGGATCCCATCCCTTGTGCGCACCACACCTATTGTCGACTACCAGCCGACCTGTAACCCCGTTACACCGTCCCTTGTGTAAACTGTACATGCTGTGGAAACCACACGTGTGGTGTAACCCCGTTACAGGATCTCCACGTTACTCGACTGGCAATGCCCTGCGCAATCAACGTATTCACGTGGCACTTTCACACTGAGTTGGAAAGACAACAATTCTTGCCATTATTTAAAACGCGATATACTACATTAATTGTTTATCGGAGTTTGTTTTCACATCCTCCGGTCTACCTACACGTGACATTGCAGCAGGCGCTCACGATTATTTGGAAACGCGATTCACTCGCTTATACTTTCTATTCTTCCACTTAATTACTGTCAACTCAATTCCTTAATATCATCGGTTCACTCACTTAACTACTGGCTCACTCACTCGGTCACTTTGGTCACTCGCTCATTCAACTTTGTCCGTACTCTTATACCTTCGGCTTATGTATTGATTTCCGCACTATTCGACGCCTATGCCTTTGTAAATCGAAATGCGGTAGTTAGGCTTATGGTTGGACAACTGTGTAGCGAGTTTATTTCCTTCTCTTTGTCTTGTAAGCTGGTCAATAAGCTCGGGATCGGGAGAATGAGATAAACCAGCGTTAGCTCATGCACTTACCGAAGAAGAGAAGGTTTACGCATGCATAAGTCCGTGTACGTCTCCTGTCGTGTGTCAACTGCAGAGCGGCACCAGATGTTTGGCTGCCTTATGGAACCACGTGCCAACCGGAGACCCACTCGCTTCGCCTCGCCAGGCATCTCAGCTGCAAGGCGTTTCCAGGTACAGCCTCAATTTGTCATGTAAGGCGTCAACGAATGATGATAGACCCGCGGCTGCTCCTTGTGGTGTGACGCATACCGTGGCGACCACGGAGCATTCCTCGCACACAGTCAAGGCTCATGAGTGGATCCGAATTCGAGGTGCGACACGTTGTCTCGCATAAGGCCTGAACAACGAACGATGACTACGATCGACTGGGAATTCCGTTTCTACCGGTAGTAAGGTAAAGAGCGTTTCCGCAGTGGACGGTGCAGCATGCGTGTCACGTATACATTCTACATTGACATAGCCGTCCCTCTGCCACTCGGCTTGGATGCCTTTGCGAACTCGCAGAAGGCTCATTGACATTCTCTGGAACAAAGAAGAAGCCGGTCGACTTGGAAGTGACCGCCAATAATCAGCACCTATTGTGCTGGTTATACGCGGTAACAACACCAAGACGCCTTGCCGATGTTGTGGCGATCTACACGCCAGCGCAGGTCAAGCGGGTCGTTAAAGGACTTGCGAAATGCATCGCGAGCTCATTGATCGTGTGTACCGCAAGTATGTTAGCGATGGATATGTAAACGTTGGAGGACCACAAGTCCACGTGTGTCCCCGCTGACATTGAAAAGCGCTTGACGTGTAAGAAGCCAGGGTAGTCGCGCACGCACCATTTGCTCGCAACTTGTGAGGCTTTCTTTGCTGGACACAGTACTCGCGCGACGAGGGCAATTGCACGGACGTCGTGAACTAACTAAAGTGCATTCGCATGTTCTGTTCTAACAGGTGGGTGACGAAACTTGTACGCGTCGTAAAATGTTATGGTCCGGAGGACGTCGTGCTCAAACACTTTACGACACGTACAAGTCTGGCGATGACAAGCGCTCGAGCATGCGTTGAGCTCGACTGTCGATCGAGCTTTACTGTCGCTTGATCTTGGCTGTCCGTGCTCCTCTACTAACGTGCTACACTGTTTTGCTAAGACCATGCGCACTTGCCATCGCTCATCGCGTAAATGTGGCGAATGCGTTTGAGTCAAGCAGACTGTATGCGACTACGCGATCGTGATCCGCCCCTGACTCATTGCCCGGTCGCCTGTGTAAACTCCTTCCTGTATGTGGGATGCGAGACTGGCTCATAAGTCACTCTCCTCGTATATCGCCCCTCCGCTCAAGATTCAGCATGTGCCTCGGGGCCGGCGCTGCCGTCTTCACACAATGCAAATAGAGACTGTGGATGGAGCACAGACTGCTTCGTAGTCTGTACCGATCAGAACGGACTGCGCTTCGTTCTGCAACAAGGGCAAGAAACGCAGAGAACGTGGCATCTGTACGGACTGGACGAATGCTCCGGTCAGTGCTCTACTTGTAAAGAGAGAACGGCGGTACTAATGGTGAGACCTCCTTTGCCAAAACTTTATCTGCGCTCTCCAATGATTAGATCAACGGCACTGCAGCTGCCTGCACGTAGCAGAGAGATTGAAAGTACCATCCGCATTGCCAGCTGGTGCGTGATTACGGCAGTTGACTCGTGGAGCGGATTTCGGTGCATTGCTCAGGTCGCTCAGTCAGCGTCGCATGCGCGCGTCCGTCTTCTTGGAAGGGATTTTCTTTTCCGTCGCACTTGACGCGATCACTGCCTTACACGACTACCAGGCACTGCGTCAGCCGACAATCTATGAATCGGACTGCGTGAAGCAATGGACAAAGCTGAAGCCCAGCGGCTCGGCCGGCGCGTACTCGGAGATGGAAGACCTGCCGACTGCCAAGAATGGAACGGGAGAGCTGCAGGTCAAGTTGTCGGTGCAAGTGAAGCGGTTCACGAGCGACTACGTGGACTTTACCACCAGGTCGTACAACGGGCTATTGCCAGGCCCGGCGATCAAAGTTTGTCCAGGTGACCGTCTAGTTGTGACTCTCGTGAACTTGTTGGGAGCTGGTACGAACAATAACACCAACCTGCATGTGCATGGGATGCATGTGTCGCCAATGGGGGACGCAGACAATGTGGCTCCCATTGTGGAGCCGCGCGGACAGCGCAAGTACGTGTACGACATTGGCCCCGACCACCCAGCAGGAACGTTTTGGTACCATTCCCACTCGCATGGCAATGTGAACTCGCAGCTCAACGGAATGATGGCAGGAGCGCTGATTGTGGCTGATCGACCGGCTGATTTCTCGACAGACTTGGCTGCCATGGATGACCTTGTCATGATTCTGCAAGCAGTGTGCGTCGAGAACTGTCACAACGTGCACGATGATATTCAGTACGCGATCGAAAACACACGTAACTCTTCATCGTCACAATTGGGGCACGTGGACACGCTGGATAAAAAGAGCCAAACGCGCACTGTTTGGATGACCGATCTCGAAATTGCGGAAGATGATGCAGACGTGCCGCTGAACGATACGTCGCTTCCTACAGTTTTCGTGAATGGGCAATACTTGCCAACGCTGGATCTCCTGGTCGGTGAATACAAGCGTTTGCGTTTGATAAACGCTATTGCAAACAATATCATCGAGCTCGTGGTAAGTGGCGACAGCAGCTGTGCACTTTATGTCTTGGCGATGGACGGTATATACTTCAACAAACCGAAGGCAAAGGACGTGGTTGTTATTCCGCCCGGGGGACGTGCCGACGTAGCCATCACGTGTGCTGACAGTGGTGAGTTTTACCTCGAGACTGATTGTGCGAGCTCTCGCAACGAATTATTGGGTCGAGTGAACCAGCATCGTATACCATCTCAGCGTATCGTGACGATCAAGGTGAGCGAGGAAGACGAAGACTCTGACGCAAGCAAACGCTTCGTAGCCACTACTCTTGTATCGACGCTGCCAAAGCGACCTTCGTATATGGAGAATACAATTGGAAGTGCGAACTCCGCATCGACCATTGCAGGGCGCAACAAGTACGACTTTGAGTTTTCCGTCTGGATGGAGAAGGGAATGATGATGTATGGCGTCAACCACAAGAAGCTCGATATGACGTACATCAATCACTCAATGCCTGTCAATGAGCTGCAAGAATGGCGGCTTTCAGTCAGAGATTACAGAAAGCCAGAAATATGGTCGTGCGACGCGGATAGTGGTTCCGCGAAGTCAAGTCAATGCCGCACGATGAACCACCCGTTCCATATACACTCGACGCATTTTCAAGTTTCGGATATGGACACTGACACAGACCCGGATGGAGAAATGTTTGAGGTGGGCGAATGGCGCGACACACTGCCGCTCTTTCGTGGAAAAGTGTGGATCCGTTTTACTCCGCGCGACCACATGGTGGGAAACATCCTTGCGCATTGCCACATGGCTTCCCACGGTGACGCCGGTATGTCACAACTCGTGAAGGTGTACGCTCGTCCTGATAAAGGTGAAGAGGGTGAAGGAGGAGGCGATGCATCTACTTCTGACAGTGACGAGGACAAATACGACACGGAAGGTATGGACGACTCTGCAGATGCTGCGGAAATAGACACTACTGACGAAGACGAAGTTGACTCTACGAGTGACGCGGGAGAAGACGACGAAGAAAGTCAGGCAGAGGCCGCGAGCGAGAGCGACGCGGACGAAGGAGGTGGTAGGAACAAGAATACTAGCGACGAGGTGGAATAGAACAATGTGGTGTCATACGCGTGTGAGGCGTCTTCGCAGAGCCTAAGGTTTTGAGCTACGGCATGTGCAAAGGTCGAGCGTAAGTTGAGTTCCAGTTTCGCTCAAACACATTCTCCAGAGCTTTCCGTGTCGATTCATGGTCCGTATTGACGCTAGCCCCTGCTGTGGTGTAGAAGTAGCCCCACTCCATGTTACTCGTGCCTATGTTCGCGCGCGCGTCGGTGACAATAAACTTGGCATGATTTACACGAGTGTACGAGGGCCACAGAGCTTTTCTCCCAAGACTGGAGGTCGTATTTTGCCAACCTGGGACTTGGAAAATCTTGATCTCGAGTCGCCCGGAGCATCGAGCGCGCGTATATTGGCACAACGCTGCCTGTTTCTGCAACGTGGCAAGAGCTTGTAGCACCTGAGGGTCAGTGTGCTGCCACTGGCTAATGAGCAGCCGCACGCGCAGTTTGGATTTGCCATAGATTCCAGCCAAGAGCGCATCATTGAGAACTGGCCAATGGAGAGACCCTGGTGTGTACATCGAAAACGGCGCGAAGTCCATGACGCTGAGACTCACGAATGATCTGGCTGATCGAATCGTGTACACCAGCGCGTCTTCGTCGAAAGCTCGCGAGCGACCAGCAGTCACTTCGAGTGGAGCCGCCGCCACGAACAGGTGCGCCGTAGTCGACACGCCATCTGGATTGCTAAACTGCGTTTGCAGCTGATGCGAGATGTTCCCTAGCGCCAAGATCCCAGCTTTCCTGAACGGGTCCTCGCTCCTCTTCTCTTCCGGCAGGTACAGTGACCACACAGGGACCTGTAAGTCATGCTGAAACGTGTCAGAAAAGTACGAGGCTGTCTTGGCCAGCAGTAGTTCGGACGACGCAAACATCCACCACGTCTCGAACAAGTTCTGAATGTCTCGAATAACAGGCGACGTTGAGGCCACGTTCTCCATCACCACACCCACTTCCATCACTTGCGCCAGCGATTTCCAGTCCATGTTTGCACTGCCCACGTAAATATGGCGCGAGTCAAAAATCCATATCTTCTGGTGCAGAATGCCGCTGCCGTACCACTCGGAGCCGTTCCAGCACCTGGCAACCACATATTCAGGCGCTGCGTCCACCAGCAACTGCACTTCACTTGGCAACAGTTCCGTTCCTTTCACCTGTTGCGGTGCTGTCACAATCCGAATTCGAACGCCTCGACGCGCGGCATCGCGTAACGCAAATAGTAACTGTTTGCCGCGATCCGCTCCGAATTTTGACATTTCTAACGCAGAGTACGTTTTTCGGTCTTCTTTGCCCAACAAATTCCAGTACATGGCACTGAGGTCAACCGACGTCGTCGCAGCTTCGACGTGGCGCATGAGGACCTCAAACGTCTGTAGGACAGTCGACGAGAGCTCAAAGTCCCCCACGGGAAGCGACTCGACCAGCGACATCGTCGCTCTGCCGCCAATATCGGCGTTCGAAATAAATTCTCTTTCGTCATAAACGTGCGACTTGAGAGCAACGGACGGCTCAACAGCTGTCGGTTGACGTGGGAAGAAGCAAACAGCGACTAGAAACGCGCACGCAAACGCCCACAGAAGTCCATAGGAGACGACGCCGTCGCCGCGACGAGGTCGACGCGCCATCTTCTCGTTTCGTTCTGTCAATAGATCCGTTTCTAACTCGACTTCTGATTTGGTACCGTACCCTTTTTCATGAAGAAAAGAGTCACGCGTTCTAACGACGGCCCGTATTGTTTTTGACGCCACAAACTGTTTTGACGGTCACGAACTGTTTTGGACGGTCACGAACTGTTTTGGACGGTCACGAACTGTTTTGGACGGTCACGAACTGTTTTGGACGGTCACATATTCCTTGGAGACACGTAGTTTACTTCCGTCTCGTCACCAATGGCTGGGGATGTGGTGTCCCGCAAGGACAAGCGCAGACAGGAGCGCGATAGGAAGAAACGAGGGACCCGCAAGCGCCAGCGCAAGGACGAGATCGATAACTCAGCAGTGACGAAGCGCGTGCGAGCACATGCGGTGCGTGGAAAGAAGCGTATTCCAACAGCTCGTGGAGACTCGAGCATCAGGAATACATTTCACGAGTTTTTAGCAGAAGCTGCGAGTACAAAAGGTGGACAGATATACACCACAACTGGAGGCGCAGTATCGCGTTTCGTGAGTACTGATGTCAAATTGTGCAGGGAATTCGCAGTCACTGGGTGCAGAAGATACGGAGATTAAGAATTTGGAGCTCAAGTTGGGACTCGGCTCGTCATCAGGCCCGAAATCCGAGTCGGCGCTTAAAAAGCTGCAAAAGTGAGGCAGTGCTCGAATTTGCTCTTTCTTTTCCACTGGTGTGATCGTACGTTTGCACTGAAGTTCGAACTGACGCTGTCGGCTTTTGGCGGTGCTGCAGAGAATACTCGAAGGACGGACTAGGGGAAGACTTTGCGGACTTTCTGTTGGGGCTAAACCATATTTCAGAGTAGGCAATCTGCTGCAAAGGGGGCGACCGTCGGCACTGAATTAGCTAATGAGTTGTGTGGTATCTACGATATCTGTGTAGAGTGGTCAAGGCACAGACCCAGCCAAGTAAGTCTACTCGCCATCGTTCAGACGACGGAGAAAGCGGGATGGAGGAGGTTGAGGCGACGGACAATTGTGCGAAATCAGAGGTAAGCAGTGCTTACGAAGACCACGTAGAGATGGACGAAGAGACTCGACGCGAGATGAAGCTGCTAGAAGCAGAGGATGCTGAGTTTCTGAAAGGCATGGACGAGCTTCCTACGGATGAGTCTGAAGACGAGTCAGATACGGACCTTGCGCAGTTTTGTTCGGATGACGAGGGGGAGGAAGATAAAGCCAGCGACGAAGCTCAAGCGAACACGTTGCGAAACCAGCAGTTGACTTGTGGTAGCCCTTACGAGAATAGTAGTGACGATCAAAGACTATCAAAACAGGAAGAAGGCGAAGAGGGGAGTGATGACGAAAAGCTCATTAGGGGTGCAGAAAGCAAACAGCATAAAGAGGCTGGCGAGGATGCAGATAAGGAGAGTGTTGCTGTCGTGGAAGATATCTACGGTCGACCCGTCATCAAGTCAGTGAGTGGGTCCGAGACGCCATTGACATACTTGCCTCCCCACCTTCGCCGCGATCTTCAAGCTAAAGCCGAGGTTTCTTCCGCTACAGCGGCTACAGAAAAGTCCGGGTCTTTGCAGCTGAATGACCAAGCTTTGAGGGAACTGAGGCGTCGATTGAATGGCCAACTCAACCGTATATCTGAATCCAACATGGAGTACGCCGTGTGTGTGTCTATGATACGCGCAAATATGATGTCACTAACGCTCTTATACGAATGTCCAGGTCTGTCGTCTTAGATATCGAGAAGTTGTACCGTGAAAACAGTCGATCGCTCGTCAACAAGATATTGATGGAAAAGCTGCTTCAGACGACGTGCCACCCGCGACAGGTGATGGCACCGCTTACGAAGGTTGGCGGTGCTTTAGTGGCAGCTCTGTATCACAGCGTCGGCAGCGAAGTGGGAGGGTTCTTTGTCGAAAAGTTGGTATGCAGACTAATGGACAGCGTGGAGAAGGAGAAGCAACAACGCAGCGAGTTCGCAGGTATACAGCCTGTCGACCAATACGATGGCGACGGAAGGACGTCCAAAGTGCCAGTAAACTTGATGCTGTTTGTGATGATGCTGTACAACTTCGGAGTTGTGCACTGTACTCTCGTGTATGACCTCTTTCGGGCGTTCGTGAGCAGCTTCTCGTCGACCGACATTGAGCTTATTCACCAGCTTTTACTTGTTGGTGGCGCTCAACTCCGCGCGGACGATGCCGACGCTCTGCGCCAAATGGTTGCTGCTGTGCAGAAGAAAGTGGGCGAGGCATCACAAGCGGATGGCGGAAAACAGCGCGATGAACGTGTCTGCTTCATTCTTGACCTTATTTACAACCTCAAAAAGGTATCCAAGCACAGTAGTAACCGCGACTCCGGAAGTTCTAGTGGAAATGCACACGATGTGTCATCCCTAAAGAAGTGGCTCGGCCGCGTGAAGACGAGGTGTGGCAACGCCAACAACCCGCTACGTGTATCGCTACACGAGCTGCTCCACGCTGACGAGGACGGGCGTTGGTGGGTAGTTGGCGGTACGTGGGTCGGTTACCAGCAAAAGTCGAGTGGTGATGAGGCAAACGCTGATGCGAGTGCGAAAACTGCACGCGAGAACGACCGGCTGTTGAAACTCGCGGAGAAGCAGCACATGAACACAGATGTCCGAAAGAAAATCTTTGTCGCGCTCATGGGCGCGACCGATTGTTCCGACGCCTACGAGCGGCTTCTGCAGCTGCACTTGAAGGAGAAACAGGAACGCGAAATTGTCCGTGTGGTGCTACATTGCTGTGGTCAAGAGAAGAAGTTCAACAAGTACTACCTAGTGCTGGCCGAGAAAATGTGTGAGATGGATCCAAGATACAAATTTACTTTCCAGCTCGCGTTCTGGGATATTTTCAAGATCATGGAGTCACAGAAGCCACGACGAATATACAATCAGGCTCGAATGCTGTCCGGGCTGGTGACGAGCAACAGTTTGTCATTGTCATGTCTGAAGGTGCTGGATTTTACGCAGTTGGAAGAGAAGAGCATTTTGTTTCTGCGGGTTGTGTTGGAAGAGATTCTTACGGTGGAGAGCGAACTGGAGATGGCACAGACGTTCCAGCGTTTGCTACATTCAAAGAAGGCGCAGCTCGTGATTGATGGCCTTGCCGTATTTCTCCATCAGCACGTGACGAGCTTCCGCGGCCAACCGGATCCAAAACTGCGGTTGTTGCTGAAAAAGCGTGTCAAAAGTGTCAAGAGTTTGCTCGACCAACTTGCTAAGGTAGCTGGGTCAGCTTACAAAGAAGCAGCTTGACATCGCTGACCAACTTGGCACGTCGGCTGCATTGGCCGAGGTCGAGGCTGATCAGATGTCGTGGACACGACGAGATTAGTAGACGCCGAATGTTTCCACCATACTTCTAGTTAATCCCTTTGCTGCGTTCATGAGTTTCATGAAGAGTATCACGCGGTGCCTTGTCACTCTGACACCTACAGCGTTATATGCTTTTGTCCTGATCATGGTGACTAACCATTTCGAAAAGTTACTACCAAGTGCAATCACATTTCAAAAGTGCGCACGTTCCTAGTGGTCCAAGGTACAGCACCAACTCGGAAGAGGGGAACAGTTTCTAGAGCTTGCCCTCTACAAAAAAGTTGTCTGGTCCAGAAAGTAATTCAACTTACCAAGATGCACGTACCCACTTCGAATGGCAAAGTTTGCTGCTGGGGTTGGGTTGTGCGTTTCGAATTAGAAAGGGTGGTTTCTAAGTACGTTTTACCTGTAGGATGTATTATGTACGCGAATGATATAATGACCAAGTGCGTAAATCGGGATTGACACGAGTCATCCCTCCAAGTAAGTATATATAGTCACATGTAAGTCGGTGAACATATAATGCCAAATTGCTGCAATAGGTGGTAAACCTTATATTAAAGTAGTTAGTCAGGGTTCTACAATCGATTTAGAAAAAGCAAAATAAACGCCAGTTCGCACGTAGAAGCCTAAAAGTCAGGTGTCTTGTCAAGGCAACCTCTTCAACACGGAGTGCTGAGATTCTTTACAGTGTCAAGGCTCTGTACTCTAGTAGACTCTTGCGGTCCAAAACGTGTTGTATCATATCAGCTGGTTGACTCTTTGTGTATATATCTCGTGCACGACTTAAGTGGCTCATACAGCTTGAAGCCGTACTCTGACATAGAGCTACCGCACCTTCGCTGCATCCTTCGTTACAACTGCTGTAATGCCATCTCACCGCTCGTTTCGCCTATCTAGCAAATATTGGTGGCACCATCGGCTGATATAATGACCCGTATCAGCCGATGAGTAGTAGGTCACTCACTACCAATTAAGAAAATAGTGCCGTCAAAGGCAACGTTCTCGAATACTATTCCACAACGGTAATAATGATATCCAGGCCCCAGTACTGTCAATCTCATGAAATAGAGTCACCCCGTTACGAAAATGATGCATTTTACAATGAGAATGTAACAAGACGGCCTATGCATCGACACAGTGAGAGGTTCTGGCCTCAAAACATCCGTGGATCGGTTGTTGCGGTCTTCAGTGAAGTTTGCGTAAATTGTTCGAAAAAAGCACGGTTGATGTAACGGGGTGAGCGTGTCACACGTGATTGGCATGAGTTGTGTCCTTGTAAATATTGTCTTAGCTGATTATATTTGTAACATTGCCCTTGCGAGTCAATATCGAAGGAATATTACCGTTGGAGGTAATAGTCGGTGCCGCTCTACAAATGGTTGACTGATGGTTTATTTGGTTGATATCATAAAGGCCATACTATCAACAGCGTAAACTACCAATCGCTGCTGGACACGCGCCTGGGGTGGTGAGCGAGGTTCCATATCTGGAGTTTGTGGGTTAATATACCTTGAGCAAGGCAAAGATACTTTGTCAAAATACAGCTTCACTTTTATCTTATTCTGAGCAGTTCTTGCTCCGATTGTTCACTTCCTCTGCAGTGTATTAAGTTTTGAGACCACACACCCTGCACAGTCATCAGTGCAGGGGCTCACCAGTTATCTGGTTCATGTGCTCCAATGCAGTAGACCTCGGCAGGACGCTATGCTCAAAATACATTTGGCTTGGCTACAGAGATCCTTAGAATAGCGTTATCGGTTACTGAGGTAACAAGTGCCTTGGCCACAACGCTCACCACCATCGTTCATGGAGGGTAAGCGCCGCAAAGACGCACCAAGCACCGACCTTTCCCCACTCACTACGGGCCGTAAATGTATGATCGAAGTAGATTCAAGCAGACGCGCTGGTCAATTACCCACGCTCGAAGTGAATTACCGTTCTGTGTTCTTCACTACGATCTTTCGCCATGAAAAGGTTGAGGCGCGTTAGTCCAAGTGTATTGAAACGATCTAGGTAAAAAGACTATCCTATTTGTGACTTGCGCTCACGAGTGCATATTCGCTGAAATGTCGTGCACTGTGAAAGGATGCATTGCTCGGCAGATGCTACGAGTAAGCTAGGGATGTCGAGATCATATCGATTTCGGATCCTGTTCCGATAAACACAAACATAAAAGCTTACAGCTAGGTCGTGTCAAGATATGACTATCGTTGATGAAGCCCGACAGCTTCTTGCGCTGTACGCTGGTACAGCGCAAACAACAGCAGATCTCTGTTCAGTAGCTATTTTGCTGATATTGCAGAAACACCGTGTATCGTCGACGCTGTTGGTATTGCAGCGCGTTTGTACATCAAGAATGGACCGCAAGGCATGACACTTTATGATGACAATTACAAGATACAGACAAGTAAACCTATGCATGAAACGTTTATGACGCTTCACTGGCACAGTGTATGAGCAAGTTTTTTCATGACATCCTAGCTGGTGATAGCTTGTCCTGGCAGGTCCGCATGAACCGACGATCCTTCTGACTCCAGGAAGTAAAACACCAGCTTGCAATTAGGCACTGTGTCTCCGCCGAGCTATTCGCACTCCAATAATGCTGTTTGACGTTTCTTAAGGTTTCACACCTGTCAGGCGCTTTGGCGTGGCGCGTTCTGCACCCCCCAAGCGCGGCGCTGTTTCGCTGTTCCATCGAAGACTTCGGCATACGAAGTTTTACATAGGAGAATAACGTTGGAGAATCGTACGCGGGTCCAACGCGGCGACAAGAAATAACGACGCCGGAAGCGACTAACAATCTCGATTGGATGGAGTGGAATAGTGCTCTACTCGAGCCTGCAAGTCCACGGGCGACTGCGGATATACGTATCAGCTGCAAATCAAACGCCAGGTGAGTGTCCCATCGGCGAACGAGATGGCCTTTGTTACCGGCTCAGCCTTTCACAGCCCATCCTTCGGGTGCAACATCACGCCCGACCAGCAAAGGACGAAGCTGTCCGAACAATTAGTCTATCGATCATCTGTTTTGTAGTGTTGGTAATGCTCACCAGCCAAAGTCCTTCGCGACTTTTGGCCTCGCGGTCCTTTCAACGAAGTCGGCCATCAAACGGCCTTTTGTTACGCGGGTTCACCGCAGGCGCAGTCGGATTGTCTATCCGCCCCCCCCCTTTCCCACGACTGGACCGACCCCTGTCGCACGGATACCATCTGCTCATTGGCGCGCTGAACGTCAACACATGGACCTGACGAGCACATGTCATTGGCTGATATCCGTGAGACAGAGCTGAAGCGCCGCGACTGGCTGCTGTATCGAGTGCAGTCTGCGTCTGTCTTCGCCATCGCTGAAGCGGTACGTGACATGTGCTCAACGCACGTCGCAGTGTCGTTGCCCACGTCAGTCACTCAAACGGGGGAGGAGGAACGCAGTCGCAGTGTCGTTGCCCACGTCAGTCACTCAAACGGGGGAGGAGGAACGCAGTCGCAGTGTCTTTGGCCACGTCAGTCACTCAAACGGGGGAGGAGGAACGCAGTCGCAGTGTCTTTGGCCACGTCAGTCACTCGGACGGGGGAGGAGGAACGCAGTCGCAGTGTCTTTGGCCACGTCAGTCAGTCGGACGTGTCGATGCCGCCGCTGCTCCGCTCGTTGCGCTTTCGCCTTTGGCGGTGCGCTCGACTACGACCACTCAGTACGAGCGCTGCTCAGTCGCGCAGCTGAGATCCTTTATGCTGTGGCGGTGAGCGCGTGGGCGTCAGTGGCCGTGTGGCTCACAGACAGACGGACAGATGGACGGACAGATGGACGCACGTCATCGACGGTGGACGGACGTGCAACGAGTGAGAGTACAGGAACAAGTGGATGCGTCGATTCTCGCTCGTCACAACGCTCTCGTGGACCGCTGGGGAGTACGTGGCCGACGTCGTTGGCTGAAAGATCGCTATGAAGGCGTCAGAGCCGCACTAGCGACTCGTACGTAGCGACTCAGACGTCGCAGATATGGCTAAGAAGGATACCAGTCGACCCGTTCTACAAGTGGCGCTCGAGTGCATTGTAAACGACAATGCCGTCTGACAAGTCGCCGCACTCGTCGTTTGGCAGGTATTGGCGACGAAAGAGGGGATACTTACCAGCTCTTGAAAGGAGAGATGATGGACCAGCTCTTGGACTACGTTGGCGTGACCAGACCCAGCAACCACTTTTGTGGTCATCACGACAGTCGCATGTGTCTCGTGTCAAAGACGCGGCCGAGTCACTGAACACGAACTGGAAGGTGGAGGCTGGCGTCGCCTATGTGCGCGTGTTCTGTCCATGGGCAATGACACACTCTTGTTTGAGTGTTGCTTCAGTGAAAGCAACGGTCCATTTGTCGTCCTGGACGGCACGAGTGGCGAGCGGTGCCATCAACGTTGGTGAAGGTTTGTTGATGGTTGTAAGTCGGCGCCTCGCCGAACGACGAGTGGTGCAACAGACCAATGTCTTACGACAAGGCACAGGGAGTTTGCCTTCGACGCCAGTGAGTCATCGTGTGATACCATGACCCCGTGCACACTGATGGAGAATCTGGTGTTGTCAATTGCAGAATGACTGAGCATTTGTTTGTGCAAGAAGCGCTGAGAAACGAAGCGAACAAGCGGCGTCGACTTTGCAGCATGGAACGTGTGAATGTTGTTGAAGGATGGATTTCGACAGCCGTCGCATGCGAATGCGGCTACGATTGTTCGAGCAGCACGTCGTCGTTGTGAACCGTGTGCGCAAAGCATTCGGCGTTTGCAGCGTAAATTTGTAAAAGACAACGATGTACTCGAGAATGGCCAGCTCATCTTTCGTGTCAATGCTGGTCTACTGGTCAAACGCCAGGAAGACGGTTGTTTGGCAATTGCAGGACAAAGCCGTTGACGGCAATTTGGTACGTCAGAGTGACAGAATTGGCGTTCGT